AATTAGTTTTTAAACCAAAATGCTTAAAATGCGTTTAAATGAAAAGCTTACATCATGACGCGCAAAATGAATTTCTCAACCCATAAGCGAATATACTAGGCCTATAGAGTTTGTTCAAACACAAAAAGCAACATCTATCAAGTTAATAATCAAGCTAACCTAAAATCTGTGGGGATGATGACGCTGTGTTTTTAACTCCCTCTCCATCATCAGCTTTAGTGAAATAAACTAGCTGTGGATTTTAGTGACTCACTCATGTTTTCCCCTCTCTCCTCATTTTTTTTTCTCACTATTTTTTTTTTTAGAATAGTTGACATTTTTACTTATCGAAGATTGTTATTTGCATGACCGTTTCTAGATTACACCAGAATGAAGTGAAGAGAGGTGAATGCAGACATTAGGCGCAGCGATCTCCTGATAGATAGGCTGCGTGCACAGTTTGTTCAAAAGTAATATATAGATATAATAAATGCATTTGATTGGTAAACCAAATTCAAATGTGACATTTTAATCTCTAATGCAAATGCATGGAATTTACGGGAAAACTCCACTAAATAATAGCGCTAAAAAGCCCCGCTTATGACTGGTTTTGTGCTCCAGGGTCACATTTGATTAAAGGACACTCAAAGGAGCCAGTTTCATGGTACTTTTGAGACACATTTATGGAGCTTTTTTTTGCCATCTTATTTCTAATAATTATCAACATTGATAATAATCAGAAATGTTTCTTGAGCATCATATCAGAATGATTTCTGAAGAATCATGTGACACTGAAGACTGGAGTAATGATGCTGAAAATACAGCTGCGCATCACAGAAATAAATTACAGTTTAACAGATATTCACATAGAAAACAGCTGTTTTAGATTGCAATAATATTTCCTATTTTTATAGATTTTTGATCAAATGAATGCATCCTTGCTGAGCAGAAGAGACTTCGTTAAAAAACATAAAAAGCTGAACGGTAGCGTATCCCTTTAAGGAAAACCTCAGAGTGAATCTGTGCAGTGAAGTAGAGTCTCAGGAGAGTCTGTTTCCGGCGGCAGGCTTCGGTCCGCACCAGAACAGCTTCTCCTCGGGCCGCTTCTTCCTCCAGCGGCACAGCAGCAGCATGCGGAAGGTCTTCTGGAAGGTCTTGTTGCAGAGAGCGTAGCACATGGGGTTGACGGTGCTGTTGACGTAACACAGCCAGTATCCCAGATGCCAGAGCGAGAGCGGGACGCAGTCGGAGCAGAAGGTGGAGACCAGCACCATGATGTTGTACGGCGTCCAGGTGAGGATGAAGGCCAGCAGGATTGCGCTGAGAGTCTGTGCCGCCTTCTTCTCCTTGATCAGAACCATCCTCTTCCTCTTAGTGATCTGGCTCTTCAGCGTGCCGTCGACGGGTTTGGAGGAAGACGGTGCGTTCACAGACTCGGCCGACGAGAACGAAGAGGGCTTTTCGTCTCCGTTAGCGCTCTTGAATTTGTAAGACATGCACTTTTTGTTTCGAGCAGGACTTGTCCTGAAATTCTCCTCTCTGCTTTCCGTCTGGAAGACGCAAGGAGAAGCCGAGCGCTCTTCGTCTTCGGATGAAGCGTAGCTAAAGTTGGTCAGCTGCTCTTCAGCCGGTTTGGACGTCTCTTTCGAGGTGAAACACGAATGAGTCTTTTGATTCAATGCATCTGAATCGTTCAAAGAGTTGACTCCTTGAAGCTCGGCTAGATCTTTGGTGCGCCGCTCGGTTTCCTTATAGATCCGACAGTAGAGGATGGTCATGACGGATACGGGAATATAAAAGGCGGCTATCGCCGTGCCAAAAGTGATCACGGGTTCAGAGAAGAACTGAATCTGACACTGTCCTTCAGGAACCGTTCGCTTTCCGACGAAATACTGCCAGCAGATGATCGGCGGAGCCCAGAGGACGAAAGACACGAGCCAAGCCAATCCAATCATGATTCCCGCTCGCTTCGGCGTTCGTTTGGCACGATACGTCAGTGGCCTGGTGATGGAGAAGTACCGGTCGAAACTAATGACCAGCAGGTTCATCACAGATGCGTTACTGGCCACGTAATCCAGAGCCAGCCACAGATCGCAGGCCACACTTCCCAGAGCCCAGCGGCCCATGAGGATGTACGACGTGTAGAGGTTCATAGAGAAGACGCCGATGATGAGGTCAGCGCAGGCCAGGCTCAGCAGGTAATAATTGTTGACCGTCTTCAGCTGGCTGTTCACTTTGAAGGACAGCATCACCAGAACGTTCCCGACGATGGTGATGAGGCTGACCACGGCGGAGACGGTTGCTATGGTGACCGCCTCCCACAGGCTGTGCGCGCCGGAGACGTTGGCGCTGACGGTGACGTTCTTCTCTCCGTCCATCGTGATTCACTCGCGCTTCAGCACGTCCATCTCCTGAAGAAACACACAGACACACATCAGACTGAAGATGACAGCTCTTCTATTAGCTGTGGGTTATTACTCTTAACTAAAACTAGAAGTATGAACGCTTTTGTTAATTAAAAAAAAGAAGCTGAAATAACATGAAATATGAATATTAGATGAAAAACAGTTAGTAAGGCTAATTTTTGTTTATTTTAAATGCTTAAAATGTCTAACTGAAAATAAATAATTAAAAAAACTAAATTAAAACTGAAAAAAAGAGAGATAAAATAAACCTAAATAGGCTGGATTCTTTAATCTAGGGTTATTATTAAATTAACTAAAACTAAAAGGTTGAAAACTTTTTTGTTAATAAAAAAAAAAAGAAGCTAAATTAACAAAATGTAAATATTAGATGAAAAACTTATTTCAGTAAGGCAACATTAATAATTTTCATTTATTGTAAGTGTTTAAAACTGAAAATAAATAAAAACTAAAACTAAACCTGAATGAATAAATGAATGAATGAATCAAAATAGTCTGAATCTTTAATCCAGGGTTATTGTCTTGAAATAAAGTTGTATTGAAATGCAAATATTAGATGAAAAACTTAAAATAAAAGAAAATTAGAAATGTTGCCTTGGCAACAAATTGAAATAAGATTAACTTGAAGCACAAAAATAACTAAAACCTAATCTAAAACTGCCATAAAAATAAAATAAACCTGAATAGTCTGGATATTTATTCCAGGGTTATTTTTTGTTACCTAAAACTAACACTATTAAAAACATTTTTGTTCTTAGAAATAAAGCTGAAATAAAATGAAATATAAATATTACATGACAAATTAAATGAAAATGATAAATGTTGCCTTAGCAACTAACTGAAATTTAAAGTTTAAATACTAAAATGTCTAACTGGAAATAAATAAAAATGAAAATGGAACTAAACAAACTGAAATAAAAAATAAAAAACTGAAATAAAAATAATTTAAAAGAAACTAAACAAAAACAAATACAAATGTTAAAAGCACACAACAAAATTACTAATAATTAAAATTAAAATCTAAAACTAAAATCAAATTCAAAATATTAATAAAACCTATTATATACTAAAATAACACTGATTTAATCTTAGAAACTATCATGTATTTTTAGATCACTTTAAGAAACAAAATATGTTAAAGTGTCTGTCAGAAACCTTAATGTGCGTGTAAACATCTCTAAACAGTTTTATTTAAATGTAATTTTTTGTGAAGGTTCATTGATTTAGTTCATCAGAACGTCATCATCATAATCATCTAAAAAATACATTAGATCTCTACAGATTAAACGACAAGAGCTAATGTAAGAACTATTATACTTATTGTCTTTTCATTTGAAGTCATTATATCATCCCATTTAAAGTCCATTTGGAAAGAAATGCATGGTTGATTGTGCAGCGATCATCATCCTCTAGAGGGCAGAAGTGAGATTTCATTCAACATTAGCTGCATTAGTGAGATTCACAGAGTTACAGCAAAAACTCCTTCACTGCTATAAATCATCTACTAAAGCCTCAGACAGGTGTGACCACGGCAGATATTAGTGCATGTCAAAATCCACAAGTATAATCATAATTTGCTTTAAACTGATGGTTCTAGTCACGTGCATCAGTTTAAATCGCAATGCATTACTTTATTGGCACTTAAGAACCTTCAACATCCTCTGAACCTCTTTATAATCGACAAAGGTTCTGTAGATTATTCAAACGTTCTTCAGACTAAGAAAAAATTGTTTTAAGAACTGTTCACTGACAGCTGATCCAAATATGGTTCTGCACTCTTGGAAATTAAGGTTCTTTACTGGCACTGATGGTTCCATGAAGAACCTTCAACATCCACGGAACCTTTCCGTTGTTCTTTATAGTGGAGAAAGGTTATTTATTAAAATGTTCACTGAAAGGTTCTTTGGACTATAGTTTTTGTTCATATTTTGAATTTTCTTTTCTTTTTTTTTTCTTCTTTCATGTTAAATTTTGTTCTAGTAATTAGCTTTTTTGGTACGAAATTTTGTTGTGTGTTTTGGGCATTTTTATGATTTTTTGTTGCTTTTAAATGTCTATATATATATATATATATATATACATTTTATTTTATTTTAAGTTTTAGTTATTTTAGAACATCAAGTTAAACTAAATAAAAATGAGAAATGTTGCCTTGGAAAAAAAATAATAATAATGAAATTAAAAAAATTAAAACCTAAAAAAAAAAAAAAAAAAATTATTTTATTTTATTTCAGTTAACAATTATTTTATTTATTTATTTTAATGGGTATTTTGAAAAAACGGGTTCTTTGGGGAACCAAAAATGGTTCTTCTATAGCATCGCAGTGGTGGTGGTGTCTCAGATGAAACACGCCATACATCTGAAGTTCAGAAGTGTATTTATGACAACGTGCAGTGATTCTGAAAATCAATAAACATATCAGGTGATGAACCCAAATCACTGCTTTGCCAGAGTTGCTTTACAGCATCATTTGGATTGGTCTCATTTCTGAAGCTTGCATCACTGATTCTGTTATTTTCCTGTTTATTTCCGTGAAGCTGCTTTGAAATGCACTTTAAATAAGAGTCAAATCATCGATTTACATGACAGAAAAAAAACATCCTGTAGCAGTCAGAACTGAAAACTTGATCCCAAACCAAACAGATCATCCACTGAAACTGAGCTTCAACTAACTAAACTTCAACTAAACAACTAACTAAAACTCGTTCTGTCCAGGTGCAGTAAAGGATAGAAAGTAGAACTCTTAAAGGGACAGTCCACCCAAAAATTCTAATTCTGTCATCATTTACTCAGCCTCGTGTTGTTCCAAACCTGTATGAGTTTCTTTCTTCTGTTGAACATGATACATTTTTTATTGATTTTGCATACATAGGGTCCCATATTGGAATTTAGATTTTTGGGTGAACTATCCCTTTCACACCAAGAACAAGCAAGCAGTAAATGTAGGAAAATGATCTAAATTATGTATTATTAATAATTATAAAAACTTGACTAACATTATAAGTGCAAATACATCAATATTAAAGATATTGTATGATGTGACCCATTTAAGAGCTGCAGTGTAATGAAAGCGCCGTGCTGCTGACCTCTGAGCCTCTCAGTGTGTGTCCTGTCTCTGAACGTCTCACGTCACATTCCAGTGTGTGTGTGTGTGTGAGAGTGTGTGTGTGTGTGTGAGTGAGTGCGTGCGTGCAAGCGAGTGTGTGTGAGTGTGTGAGTGTGAGTGAGTGTGTGTGTGTGTGTGTGTGTGTGTGTGAGTGTGTGTGTGTGAAAACAAAACCTGTGAGTGAGTGTGTGTGTGCAGTGTGTGTGAGTGTGTGTGTGTGTGTGTGTGTGTGTGTGAGTGTGAGTGTGAGTGTTTGTGTGTGTGAGTGAGTGTGTGTGTGTGTGTGTGCAGTGAGTGAGTGTGTGTGTGTGTGAGTGTGTGCAGTGATCTGACCCGTGTCTAATGTCCCTGAGCTCTGCTGTGATGGACAGACTTCCTCCAGCGCTGCAGTTTGAGTCTCAGGTGAAGCTGCTGACGCTGAAGGTCCTGCAGCTCATTCATCATGCAGTGCATTTGTGTTCCACAAAACTGCAAGAAAACTGCTGCTCTTCCTCATTGTTTTCAAGATGTCTAAACCTTCTTAAATCAAAATGAATTTACTTGAGATGCAAAACGATGCTTGCTTTCACAAAATGAAGTGTTTCTGCTTTGAAACTCCGGTTTTCTCCTCTTCTGTCATTTTTCTTCTCAAATGAATGATTTAAGAAACGTTAAATACTTGTATTGGAAAACAAGACAAAAATATTGAGGAAAAACATCAGTTTTTGCAGTGTTAAATGATATACAGTATGTTGTACAATATGATCAAATTAATCTTAAACTTAAGCTGTACTTCTAGTTTAAATCATTTTAAACATGCTTTTGTGGTTTCTGCAAAAACTGAAGTTCTTCCTCAGTATTTGTGTCTTGTTTTCCAGTACAAATATTAAAAATTCTTAAATAAAAATGATTTTACCTGAGATGCAAAATGACTGAAGTCTTTCTGAGAAATTGGCCAAAACGAAGTGAGTTTCTGCTCTTTCTGTTCCCGTTGGCAGATATGTGTTTTCATTTTAAGCTTAAACTCCATTTCTCATTCAACAAAACTACACAAACTCACTCGCATTCTGAGCCGCAAGGCTTTTGCTCTGTGACCCTGTAAATGGGCTGATTATCGAGGAATATGCTCTATATTCATCATTCAGAATTCATCTGCATGCTTTAAATGGGTCGCATCATACGTTATTTATTCTTTATTTTGGTCCTGAGGTCTCAAGTTTGTCAAGGTTTTAGGGACAAAATTGTTTAGTTTTTCTTTACACTGTGATTCTTCAGAAGGAACGGATCAAGCTTTCATACGCTTCATTGCAACATTGTTTCAACATAGTTTCAATATGCCTATATATATATATATATATATATATAATTTTTATAATATATATTTTTTAAAATATCTTTCAAAATATACAAAAAATGGCCAGAAAGCATATTTGATGACATCTGTTTCAAAATATATATATATACATAAATATATTTTCAACCAATAAAAATGTTTTGGCCTTTTTTTTTTTGTATATTTTTGAATATATATTTTGATGCTACAAATATACTTTTCAAAAGTATTTAAAATATATATTTCCTTTCATATATTTCAGTCTAATCCATATGTCACATTTGAAGAAAAACTATATTTGTCGTCCTACTGTAAGATTGGAAATGTATTTTCTTGCCCCTGAAATACATTTTAAAATATATTTTTTGGTATACAAAGGTTGAAACTAAATATATTTTCAATTCGAGTTTCACTGTTTACTGAGTTTCATCTATTTAGCATATATTTCAAATATATATATATATATATATATTTTGCCATAAATCTGGACGAAACATTGAAACATGAAACCAGTTCAA